CAGCTGCTCCACAGAAAGATGGGCAATATCCTCCTGTGTGATTTCACTAACTCTGAAAACCCACTGGAAGTCAACTATGGACTGGTTCTGATTCAACAGCAAACAACAATAACATTAATAAAGACATCATTTTTATTTAAAATTGTCTAGCAAGACATCACCATTCCTTCCTCTTCATAACATAATTCCTCTAATAGTTTCCAGTAGTATAACAAATTATCATCGATTTAGCAACTTAAAGCAACACCCATTTACCACAGCATCATCCAGAGAGCACAATTTCAGCAGGTCAAGAGTCCAGGGCAGCTTTGCTTGGTACTCAACTTAGGATCTCATAAGGTTGTCAATCAAAGTATTCATTGAGCTGTGTTCTTGAATGGTGTTCAAATGGGGCGGATCTGCTTCTAAGCTTTCTCAGATTTGGGCAGATAGCATGTCTTAGGTGTAAGGCTCGGCCTTTGGTCTCTTCCTTACTATCAGTTGCTGGCTGTCATCAGGTCCTAGAAGCTGCCCTTGGTTTCTTGTCGCATTACCTCTATAGAGAGTTCACAGAAATCTATGCATCTGTTAGCAAGATAAGTCTTCCGTGTAGTCTGTGTAGTGTGTTTAATAATATAATCATAGACTGACATCGTCACCTTTGCTGTATCTTTGGTTAAAAGCAAGTCACAGATTCCACCCATACTCAGGGGAAAGGATTATACAAGGGATGAATACCAAGGGGTGGGAATTACTAGAAGTTTCCCCTTGAGTCTGTCTGCCATTATCTATTGAAATAAACATATTAAGGGAGTAACTACTTAGAAAAGTACTTAGAAAAGAATGTTTTTTTTAAATTCCTGTTAAAATAGCCTGGGGAATCTGGGGGACTCTGGAATGTAAAGAAAAGAAACAAGAGAGAGAAATTATGATCAATTATGACAATTCTAAAATTTAAGTTATCAAAAATCGTTTCTATTTCCTTGTTTTGTGATTTGTTTTGCTTTGGTTTTACATCAATATTTGGAACTCCTTACATATTTCATTTGTTTCCATCCAAAGTTGACTTTTGTTAACAACTTCAAGAGTTGGCAGAAGTTCTGTCTGTCTTCATCATTCCACTCCCTCCACACAACACCTAAATCCTCTGAAGAGGTAAGCCTGCTATGGCTTTGGAACTTGAACACTGGGATTTTAACTCACCATCTGTCTTACACTTTCTAAGTAATTTTTTTTTTTGCCAAGACAAATGTGAATTATGAGAAACACCCTGAGATGGTTCTAATCTCAAAAGAAGGGGAGGTGGAAATTCAGGAATCCCCAAGTATTATTTTAGGTACTTTGTTTGCTAGCAGTGTTTGTGGTGACTGAAAAATTGATCCTTAATTGTGTGGGAACTAGAAAAGTGATCTGCATGCCAACAGCCAAGAATAGACTTCAGAGAATTGTCAGTTTTGAAACTGATATTTATGAACATCTGGTTTTCCCCACATAAATTTTAATATGGATTTCATCCTTTGAAACCTATGAAACTCCCAGGTGCTTCTTCAGTCTTTATCGTGGAGAACATAATTTTTATAAAAAAGACAGTCTCTTTTTTTCCTCCACTGAACACATCCTAAATCACTTCTCCTAGGGCAACATTCCTATATGTGCAGTTCTATTGGAATGCCCATATCACAGCATTAAGTGTTACCAATTTAAGATGCTGAATTCAGCATAGTAAGTTTCCAAATGTTCTAGTCTCAAAACATGAGCTGTAAGAATCTTCATAAAGTAAGCAGAAAAAGTATTTCACAAATATTCATCTACTGTTTGATCAGGCATTTTTAAGGCATCTTGGTGGCATAAGTGTATGACATGGTGCTCTGCTATCCATAAGGATGGAAGTTCAATTTCGTCTGTGGAGTGAAAGTGGACAGGATCTCCCTGTAAAGACTTATAGTTCCAGAAACACAGTGGATGGTCATTAAAGGTAGGAATTGACTTGAAGACATTGATATTTCAAATACCAGTAGGGTTACCCATTGAGGACAGGTTTCAGAGGCATTTCCACATTAAGATAGACTAAGAAGTAAGGCTGGCCTTACACTTTTGAAATAACAGACCTTTGAAAACCTTTTAAATAATAGAAGAAAGAACATTGTTGGATACAGTGCCTGAAGATGAGTCTTTTAGGTTAGAAAGCATGCAAAATTCAACTGAGAAAGAACTGCCTCCTCTAAGAGTCTGCCTTACTGACACAGATGGATAAAGCTTTCATCCAATGAAGGACCATCATCTTCTGATGTGGCAACACTCAAGAAGACACAGCTGCAAATATCCTTTATAATTAGAACATGGAATGTGAAAAGTATGAATCAAAGAAAATTGGAAGTTGTTAAAAGTAAAATGAAATGTATAAAAATTTACTGTTAGTAAATCTTAGTGAGTTGAGATAGACTAGTATTGACCATTTAGAATCAGATTCATAAAATCTACTGTTCCAGGAATGACAAATTATAGAGAAATGGTATCACATTTATCCTCAAAAAACACATTTCAAATCTGTCCTAAAGTTTTATTCTGTGAATCACTATATCAAAAACAATTGATCAACATGGAACCATTTCAGGAAGTAACATTTGCTGAAGAACCAATGGTAATAAAGCAAGAAGCCCAAGCTGAAGCCATTGGCAAAAAATAAGGCCCCAAGAATTGGTGTAATATCTAATTGAAGAATTTCAACATGAAGATTTAGCTCTGGAAGTGTTCACTAGCTTATGACAACAAATTGGAATCACAGCTACTTGGTCAACCAACTTAAAGAGATTAACAAAAAAGGTAATACAACAAAGTGCAAAAATTCTTGAGCAATATTATTAATACCACATACAAGTAAAATCTTGCTGAAGATTATTCAGCATTAATAGGGAACTTCCAGAAACTCAAGCTGGATTCAGAAGCTGCCATGGCACAAGGGATATCATTGCTGATGTCAGGTGGACCTGGGTTGAAAGCAGAGCATACCAGTAAGATGTTTACTTGTGTTTTATTGACGATGCAAAGGCATTTGATGTTGTGGATCACAATAAATCATGGATAACATTGAGAAGAATAGGAATCTCAGAATACTTAATTATGCTCATGTGAAACCTATGCATAGACACAGAAGCAATTGTTTGAATGAACAAGGAAATATACCATGGTTTAAAATCAAGGTATTTGTCAGGATTGCATTATTTTGCCATCGGTATGCTAATCAAGTAATTCGAGAAGCTGGAATATATGAAGAAGAATTTGGCATTAGGTTTGATATAAACTTTATCAACAATGTACATTGTACAGATGATAAGAAGACTTAATGAAGAACATCAATGACTAAAGACTTCAATTTATGTTACATCTCAACAGCAAGCCCTTGGAAAAAGACATCATACTGGGAAAGGTTAATAAAAGCAAGGTAAAACCTCAACAAAATGGATTGGCATAGTGACTGTCCCCATGGGACAATGTGTGAGAGGTTGTGATGATGGAGCAGGGTAAAGTAAGGTAAGGCAAGATCTGTTTGTAGAGTTGCTATGAGGCAAAGCCAATTTGATGGCACCTAACCAACAACATATATAAGCAATGGAAACAATGCCCATATTCCTCAGTCCTTAGAAATGTTAAAGAAGTGCTCCTCTGAGTACAGATCAAAGTGGGTGAGGGAGAGGATAAGAAAACAGTCATAGCTCAAGGAGAGACCAATACATATGTCAATTATGTGTGTGAAAAGTTAGCAAGGACACTCAACCCTCTTAGGAAAGCAACCTTTTAAGCGTGTAGTTCTGGCCACCCTGTAATACAGGGTACAAGTCGTTTACATAACAGAAAAGCCTCGGGAGGACAGTAAAGCTTTTCAATTTGGTTAGCCTAATAGTTTCCTATCCGTTTACAGTGTAATGGAGCCTCTCTCCCCTGCCTCTTAAAAGAGAACATTGGCAGGGTGCCATGGGCATATAAAACGTGCCCTTTTTCTTGATGTGTCAGCGCTACTCAACTATTTGGAAGGAAAATAAGTTAATTAATTTACTGATAAGTAATTTAAGACATTATTTTCCATTAAAACAAATGCAGTCATATTTTTAATGGAATGCTAAATCTGCATGCATTTTTGAAACAAAGCATAAGACTAAATGCCTCTACAGACAGAGGCTGAGGTTAAGCCTTCTTCTATATTTTCCATCTCTGTCTCATCTCCATTGAGTCTAAACTGACTCATGATGGATCCTCTAGCCAAGCTTCAGGGAGCTCTGGTGGCTTAGTGGTAAGAAACTTCATTCCCATCCCAAAAGCATGAGGTTCAAATCCACTAGTGGCTCCACAGAAGAAAGATGGCAATCTCCTCCCATGCGATCAATTAAACTGCCTCTGAAAACCTGCTGGAGGGTCAGCTACGAGTCAGTTACAACTCAACAGTACACAACAAGAAGCAGGTTTCCACGAGGTTATAAATTGCATTGGAGCAGATCTTACCCTTGTGGATCTTACACTGGTGGATTCACATCACCCGAGAGGTGCCGCCGTTAGCTTTGCAACCCACTATAGATGATAGTGCAAATCCTGAATATGAACCCATGCTCATCTTTTCCTTCACCCCCTGAAAAGCCAATCTACCAAAAATAGTGATTTTTTAAATGTCATTTCTTTTTAATTTTATGTAAAGCGGAAATGAAAGACACGCTTCCTGACAGCATTTTCTTCATCTGTGTTACCATCTGAATGCAGGAAAAGTCGGGGCCACTTCAGACTCTGACACCCAGCCCCAGAGCACCTGCTCAAGTCCTGTGCATTCAAGAGTCCCCCTTAGTCTATGGAACAGCTTGAGATGTTCATTGTTTTCAAAGGTTTTTAAGAGGTGTTTTCTCAGTGCACCTCCTGTTCTTAGCACAGAGACAGGGCACTGGCCATCCCGATGCCACTCCCTTTTTCTCCTGTCTCAGAATGTGTGGAGCAGGCAGATCAGCTCACATTCTCTGTGCTTTGTGTTCCTGATGCAGGATCTGGACCAGGTACAGCTCCATCTGGAGGAAGTGAGGTTCTTTGATGTGTTTGGCTTCAGTGAAACGGCAGGAGCGTGGCAGTGCTTCATGTGCAACAACCCGGAAAAAGCAACCGGTGAGAGGCCCCGTGGGCTGCTGAGCAGTGTGTGTCCTTTCCCCTGACGTTCCCTTGACGTAAACGTGCTAACGTAGACACATATCCTGAGGTGCACCTGAGCTCCCCTCCTCCAGGCTGAGAACAGTATCTCAGCTAAGTCAGATTTATATGCTCTGTGGCTCTGGTGGTCTAGTGGTAAGAAGCTGTGCTGCAATCCCAGAGGCATACAGTTCAGAGCCACCAGCTAATTAAAAGCAGAACATGGGCCGTCTCCTCCTCTACGATTTACTGCCTTTGAAAACCCACTGGAGGGTCAGCTATGACTCAGTTCTGACTTGACAGCACACAACAATAACATCAAGGGATGAAAAGGAAGCTCCCATGACTTAGAGGGAGGCGCACTGCCAAGCCAAAGGCAGGTGGATCTTATCAGCTGCTCTTTGAGAGAAAGATGGGAAACCAACCTCCTCCCTTGTAAATTACAGTCTCTGAAAACCCTCCAGAGCCTCAGCTGTGAGTCAGTTCTGACTCAACGGTACATAATAACATAACAACAGAGAATGAAGAGTAGAACCAGAAATGCGCAAAGGAAACAATGTGTTACATAGATGGTGCATCAAGAAAGCAACTCTTGTTATTTTGCCGTGGAAGTGTTTCTCATCTCAACCCAAAGGGCCCTGGGAGTTTGAAAAAGTAAGGATTCTCTTGAAGAATATGCCAGAGTCTCAAGGAAATTGGGTGAGACCATGTTCAAATTTTCCACATTGTCTCAATTGCCCCTTATGCTATTGCTTGATAATTGGACCGTGTTAAGAGCAAATCACTGAAAGGTTAAGGAGTTATTTCAGGACTAAATCTCAAGGCTCGCTCGCCCCACCCCACTTCCTTTCTGTTGTCCAAAGAATTGAGTCCCTGACTAAAAGTGTTCATTTTGAGCAAAAATGAATCAAATCCTGTGTCAACCATGTCACATACTCATTTAATCTTTACAATAATCTTATAAGTAAGTACAAACACTGTCTTTTACTGATGGACAAACAGACACTAGAGAGGTTTGGTACCTTCCCAATGCCACACAGGAAATAGGGAGCAGCCTCAGTCTCCACTCAGTCTGATTCCCAAGCCCACACTCAACTGCTCCACCATTCTGCCTCTTGATTGGAGGAGCGGGAAGCAACCCTTGTCATCAAGTTGTCAGTTTCAGCTCATCACAGCCTCTGTGGGCAGAGGAGGGCTGGTGCACAGGGTTGGCCTGGCTGTAGTCTTTAGAGAACTTGTTTCTCTCACAGTTACGGGCATGCTTAACAGCCCCACTTTAGGTTAATAGTCAACCCATTTGCACCACCCAGAGACCAGGTCTAACCTGACCAATGGAAATAATAGGCTGGTAATTAGCCTAAATCCACAAAGTTGTGCTTTCGTTGGAAATAAAATAAGGCCCCAAGAATTTGCCCCCTGAAAGGTCACGGCTTCTCAGTGTTAACATGGCTCAGCAACTGCAGGTAAAAGCCAGAGAGTGGAGCTGAAAGACTTGAACACAAAGCTGCTTTGTAGATGAACCACCTCGAGGAAATCATTCATTTACCACCTGTACCGATCTCTTTAATTTGGGGATTGTGTGCATCTTAAAGACCATCCATTGTGACAAGCTTATCCTCTTGTCGAGACTGAATTGAAAAAGTGTGTGTGTTTGGCCAGATGGAGATGTGAGGGGCTCGTGGAGACGTACCAATTAAAATGTATTACCCCATGGAAAAGGGAACTGTATGGATGGCAAAAGCGGGCAGCTCAGGATGCCAGCTTTTGTGAGGCAGATTGTTGGCTGATTACAGTGCCTGAATGGAGTGATGCCAGAGTGAACACCCCAGTTTATAAAGAGTTCATTTACTCAAATAAGGAATTGGGGAATTGAATGTCTTTATTATAAAACTTTCTAATTACATCTTTTTTCACCTATGGAAATGACAGAGCATTAAAGAAACTTTATTTGAGCACATGACAAAAATAATGCTTTTCTTAGATGTTTCTTAGCGGTCCTTTGGACTTCTACTGTAGGTGAGCAGAATCCTTAGCTCAATAAGCATTTTCCAGTGTCTGGCCGCAGCGAGCGGGGGGGGGGGGCCTTCTGAGAAGAGGCTGAAGTTCAAAACACAAAGTGTTCCTTTAATACATGTTTTCTCAAACACACAGTCGTGCACTTGAAAGGAATATTTTACATATTCACTCGTTCTTACTTGTGTTTCTCATAGTTAAATATAGGCTGAGAACATAAAGCAATAAAAATCCAAACAAGACCAAATATTTTATAGTAGAACATATTGAATCAAAATGTTTGGCCCCAGAAGCTTCAGCGTGTTTGGATTTCTTTACTCATTTCCTTTTGCTACATGAAAGGGGATTGTGAGTTGAGTGGAGTACTGTTTTAAACTGTTCTTTTCACCAAGAAAACCTGATTCTATGAAAAATTCTTATAAGGTGTTGAGCTCATCTTCTTTTCGTATACACAGGAGTTATATAGCAATCTAAGTGAAAGATCTAACATCATACTTCTGCCAAATACGTCATGCATAGAGATGATATTTGCATTCATTGTCCACTTAAAGTGTACGTTTAAACATGATTAAGACATAAGCAAGTATTGTGTTATTGGTGATGCATAACTCACGATAGTATTTACTATAGCCTGTGCCTTGGAACAGATAGATGAATAAGGTTCAGTGTCTCTGCTGTGAAGAAAAGCACAATCCCATTGGGACCAGGAGGCATATAGGGAAAAATCCAACATACCGTCTTGTAAGTTTTTAGCATGTAATAAAACACTTTTGAGAAAGTCAATGAATAATATTTAGAAATTATGAAGTCAAATATATCTTGCATATTAAATATTATACTGCCAAAGTTTTAATTATGTGCTAACTACATGAAATCCATCCCTACCCCCTTAGCCCGTACGTTTGGAACCTGTAGTAAGCATTTCTGTTTACAGACACCATGTCACCGTGAATATGAATTTTGTAAGCAAACAAAAATAAAATAAATTTTTTTAATTTAAAAATCACCATTTCTATACGAAACCTACAGCAACACTTAAAAATTCACATATCTGGTGGTAAACAAAATGTTTTGTTGTTGCTGTTAGGTGCTGTTGAGTTGAGTCTGACTCAGTCAAACTTTATGAACAGACCTGAGTCCTGCCCTATCCTCTACCATTTCTGATACGGTTGAGCCAGTGGCTGGCTAATGTTCATTATCCAGCTCTGTGCTAAGCTTTCCATGCATTTTCTTCTGTAACTCACACCCCCCTCCATGATATAGACCCCATTATTGGTTTTATTTTGTTGTTGTTGTTGTTGTTGTGTGCCGTCAAGTCGCCTGTGGCTCACAGTGACCCCATGTACAACAGCCCTAAACCCTGCTCCCTTCTTGCAACATATCCCAAGCATGTTAGATGAAGTTTCAGAATCCTTGCCTCCAAGTATCAGCCTGTTTAACCCTCTCTAGGATGAACCTGTTCATTGTTTTAGCAGTTCATGCTATATTCAATACTCTTCTCCTGTACCACAACTCAAAAGCATCAATTCTCCTATCATTCCTGGTCATTGGCCAGCTCTCTGATGTATAGTAAGTGATTGCAAAGACCATGGCCTATATCAGGCAGACCTTAGTCTCCAGACTAACATCACTGCTCTTTAGTACTTTGGAGAGGTCTTTAACAGCAGGCTTTCCCATTGCAATATGTCTTTTAATATCCTGGATGCTGGTGCCAAGAGTGTTGATTATAGAGCCAAGCAAACTAAAGCTGTTAACAATCTCAGTATCTTCACCATCTATCATGATGCTGCCAGTTGGCTCAGTGGTGAGAATCTTTATTTTCGTGATACTAAACCTCAATCCATATTGAAGGCTGCAGTCCTTGACCGTCAGCAGCAAGCACTTCAGAACCTCCTCAGCTTCAACAAGCAGGGTTGAGTCATTCACATAACGCAGATTGTTGATGAATCTTCCTCCAATCCTGATACCACATTTCTCCTCATAAAGCTCAGCCTCCCAGAGAATCTGCTCTGCATAAAGATTGAAAAGGTATGGAGATAGGACACATCCCTGGTGTACACCCTTCTCAATTTTGAACCATGCAGTGTTTCCTTGTTCTGTTCTGATGACTGTCTCCTGGTCTAAGTATAGGTTTCACATTAGCACAATCAAATGTCCTGGGATTTCCATTTTTCTCAGAGTTGGCCACAGTTTGTTGTGATCCACACAGTCAGATGCCTTTGCATAATCAACGAAACACAGATAGACATTCCTCTGGTACTCCTTGCTTTCAGCCAAGATCCATCTAACATTAGCTACAATATCCCACGACCCTTTCTAAAGCCAGCCTGCACTTCAGGCAGTTCTCTGTTGATGTGCTCTTCCAGTTGTTTTTTTATAATCTTCAGCAGAATCTTGCTTGCATTGTGATGTTAATGATATTGTTTGATAATTTCCACACTCTGTGGGATCATTTTTCTTTGGAATGGGAACAAATATAGATCTCTTCCAGTCAGGTGACCAAGTGGTTGTTCTCCAGATTTCTTGGCACAACTTGGTGAGCACATCTTGAGCAGCATCTGTTAGTTGAAATATGTTGATTGGTATACCATCTGTTCCAGGGGTCTTATTTTTTTACCAATTCTTTCAAAGCAGTTTGAACTTCTTCCTTCCTCACCATAGGCTCCTGATCATACGTTATTTCATGATACTCTTCTATGTCTGCCAATTTCTTTTGGTACAATGACTGCATGCTTTTTCCATCTTCTTTTACTACTTCTGGATCATTAAATATTCTACCCAAAGCATTCTTAAGTGTTGCAACTTGAGGTTTGAATTTGTTCTTCAGTTCCTTGAGCTTAAGAAGTACTGAGCGAGTTTGGCCCTTTTGATTTTCTGACTCCAGCTCCTTGAGAAAACTGAACCCCCAGAGCAGTTAAGTCTTTTCCCACAGCCACCAAATACCACGCGGTGAAATTAGATTTTTT